TTTAGCTTTTCATTTTTACAGAAAACACTAACATTACTAGATGGGGGCTTTTATTTTCAGTCCTCAACTGGCTCTAAATTGCCCTTGTTCACCTCATTCCAGGCACACCAAATTTTTTTTCTTTCAGCTATTTAAATTGTAAATGTTTCATGAATAAATAAAAATGATGAATAATAGAAAGGTGCACTATATGAAAACATGTTTAACATATGATTAGATGTCATAAAAATTCAATTCATAAATGCCATTCCATACATTTTTCTATTTTTTAAACAGCTTCTAGAATTTATGACATTTTCCATTAGAAAATAAATAATGCTTACAATTTCAATCATACCTCTAATCTGATATTAAAAACCAAAAACCACACTTAAAATCCCACCACTTTCTATTGACCACAGTAAACAAACTTGAATTATTTATTCTTCATGAGTTAACATTCCCCCTGTGTAATATTGGGAAGGGGGGGGGTGTGAATTTGGAAGAAAGAATAATGATGAATAGCATGTGAAAATGTCATTACTTCATTACATCTTGACGGGAAAATAGCTTGCTTTTTTGGAGAGACATAATACATGCATGTTCTCCAACACTGAGAAACTTAGATGGTAAAGTACATTAAGGCATGAACTGCATTCTCACACAAGGACTTGAATGCATTAGAGAGCCTTTGACAGGATCTCTGTCAGGTCTGGGCAGCAATATTACCTTTTAGTCTGACATTATTTCTGGTAATAACATTCTTTCATCTGGTTAATACAGTATGTCTAGAGCAGGGGATCTAAGATGAGCTTCTAGATTCAGCTGCACTATTCAGTTGCACCTTAACTTGGTGTCAGGGATAAACTCAGGCATTCATGAAACCCCCTCTTCTTTCCAACCTATGATGTAGGTTTCCATACATAGGAAAGACAAGACTGTGAGCTGCATGGAAGCTGCAGTACACTTCAGCAGAAAGGCTAGACACAGCCGTAAGTTACTTGGCTGATGAGATGGATGGTTTTCTTATGGTTTTAAGAGATTTTGCTAAATACAGTAAGATGGAGAATTAAGAATGCAGTCTCCTCATTCCCTCCAAATTCTTTACCCTAAACTCGTCTGCAACAGATAACTGCTAGAGCATGTTTCACAATGGCAAAAAGAAGAAAAAGAAATGCATGCAGAAGCTACGGACTTTAGAGGTAGAGAAATAAAAGTCCTCTGATAAGATGAAGGAATTAAGAAATAAAGACATCTACTAAGACAAGTTGAAAGGTACTGCCCTGAAAGTTCTCATGCAGATGATCAGTTTACATTCAGGTTTACTACAGACCTGTGTGTTTTCAGTATCCACATGACCCAACCAAGACTAGTTCAAAAAGACTGAGTACTCACAAATCCACCTGTGGTAAAGCATAACAGTGATTCCTATGCATTTTGAAGAGCAATCCCAAGTATTTTAAGGAAGGTGAACAGACAGGCTCTTAAAAAAACTTGGACATTTCAGAAAAATCTATCTGTAAACTGTCTGTCCTAAACTTTCAAAACTGTTTATCTCCTAAAAATAATGGCAAGTACTTGGCACTGCACGCTTCTGAAAAAATCTTGTCATCTTTTTTAATAACATGTCATTTACTTGCATTTTTTAAGTACGCTGATACTATCTTCACGATCAACAAGAGGGAAGATTGCTTTCCTCTTCTAATCACAATATACATTATTGTGTACTTCAGGATTTGAACACTCTGGATCAACATTCAGATGGTATGCTAGTAAAATAGTATTCTCTGATGAAAGTAGTAACTGACTATCATTTAATGCTGATATACCAAGTAGGCTATACTCAGGCAGTAACCATATTTCCTATAGATCTGTTGTGAGTTTTCATTTACCACAGAAGTGATTTCAAGGTACTGTGAAAATGAATTGTACTTACTGTTATAAATTTGGTTTTAACAGCATGTAATATTTGGCAACAATGAAGAATCACTGGGTGGCAATTGGTCATATAATAATGAGTGCTTATCACCCCTAAGCTTACAAGAAGCAATGAACCATAGCCACAAACTGTAGATATTTATAAACATCTGTATAAAGTTTGAAGGTATTTACAGCTTTTAAGCATGTAATCTCAAAGCAAAAGGGAGCTTTCCAAACTCTGCTACACCTCTGCCTGAACTCAGTATCAAATACGTATAAACCTTATCTTATTTAATTGTACAAAAACATTGAAAAACAAAGTAACTATGTGACTGCCTAAAACCAGTTTTCTTTAACTGTCAGGCCTGTGATAGCACAAATTATACTCTGTTGCTTTTTTACTATGCAGGGAGCCAATAAACGCTAAATGATGACTAATATTACCATATGAAATTGATCGCAGTTTAAAATTCAGATCTTGGTATTCACAACTCCCTTATCTTCATAGCAGTTTCAAAATGCCTAGATATTTAAAGTACCATTTTGAACTTATTACCTTTGTTTACATTTCATAAAACTTGGCTGTTTATCACACATCATGTTGTAATTGCCTGATTTTAATTTATATAACAGCTCAGAGCAACTTTATGTTTTCAATGATAGCCAGAAAAGACTGGACCTCCCAGAAGGAGGTAATTATACTGGAAACTATTGCCACTGTCTGCATTGTGGCATTTCGACTTATGAGAGGAGTTATCCAAAGGAGTTTTGGAGTTTGTGGGCTTTATTACCCACAAGCATATAGATGAGTATAGAAGCTAACTAAATGCTTGAAGACCATGTCCAAGAGATATGTAAACAAGAAAACAGTGACTCCTGAGACCCTGGACACAAATGTTCTTCTCAGAAGCAGAGATCGCTGCTTTTTCTTCTACCTTTATTGTGGTATCAGTGATGCTATTTTTCATATGTGGGTGGTCAACTGCCTATATGCAACCTTCAATAATCACTGGTTGCAACAGAAGCGAGACTGGAAAGGATTAGCGTAAGGAAAACATCTTGTTAGGATCAACTTTTGAATCTGAATCAGCAACCAAACATTTCTGCAGACAAATGACAGCTTTGTGTTAATTATAAGGTACTTCAGTTTCAAAGCTTAATGGACCCTATTTTTCTTTTTTCCTTATAAAGTATTTGTTTTTAAATATAAAATTCTAGTTCCTAGCCTGAAAATTTTGCACCTGGAGTACATATCAGAGTAGCTTGTTTATCCAGGATAAAGATTTTCATTTCTCCGTTTTAAGGAGGCAGACTTCAGCTTTAAAATATCTGAATACTGTATTTTTGTTTCTCACTGCAGAAATATCAAAATATTTTATCAATAATAAAAAATAGGAACTTCTCAGAAAAATAACATTGCAAACAAATTACAGCAGCATTTGCAGTACTGGCTGCTTTGATACCCAAATTACTAATACATTATTATTAGCAATATTAATTATTCATATTATGATGTTATTGCCAAATCTACTTCAAAACTCCATTGCTAGACCTCTTAGATTTTAAATCAAATCATGGTCTGAGACCATGAAAATTAACTCTGACCCAGCCAAAACCAGCATGCCTATTATTCTCCCTAAAAGTAAATGAGTATAAAATTTTTAAGGCTACCAAGAATTCAAGTGATCCCAAATTCTTCAGAGAAACAAAAATCAACACTGGCTAGATTCCCTGGCAGAGCACCCATCACATAAACACTGACCCAGAAACAGTTGGGGGCACAGAAAGGTACATTGTGTAAATAAAGAGCACACAAGGGAAGATCCTGGTGAAAATATTTACGTTCAGGAGCGTGGAGAGCAGTGATAACTCAAACACGGCATAGTTATTAACAAGTTATCCTGTCAGTGCCTCCTGTCCCAAGTGATGTCATCAAGGATCATGCATTATAGAATCATAGAATGTTCAGGGTTGTAAGGGACCTCAAGATCATCTAGTTCCAACTCCCCTGCTGTGGATTATCTACCTCTGCTAAATACAGCATATTTAATGGAAATTGCATTAAGAATTTCATCTAATCTGGGGTTTCCTACAAAGTACTGCCAAGTAACAAGTCTGTCTCTCCCACCAATTATCTCAAGGAGTTTCACATTTGAGCTAGACTAGGCTTTGCAACTTCACTATCTCACAGTTACTGTCCCATCAGGAGAAAACAGAGCTCTTTTCAACTGTGGAAAGAAAGGTTTGGTGCTGTGGTAACACTGCAAGAGCAAATCTATGCATGGAAGTCCCAGGTGGACGAGGCCTGCTCAGAGCAACACACATAAAAATGACATATACAAATGGCAACAGAGTAGAAGTCCAGCATTTTCACTGCTGGCTGAACCTACAGTTACTTGTTTCCCTGTCAATGTGTGGAACTGGCTGGAAACAACTGGGAAACCAGCCATCCTTCTTCAGTGCTCTTATGTATTTGCGCAGAATTTACTCCAGCAATTTCACATGCATACTCAGGATTTGACTGCCTTTATTAACCAAAAGCCAGACTTTAAATTGGAGGTCCCCAGGTAATGCACAACTGTATACCATAATTTATATAAAATGACCACTAAGCAAACGTCTGTGATTATCAGACTACAGCTGAAAGTCCACATCTAGAAATATCTGTTTGCCTAGTAACTGGGATACTACATGTACATTTAGAAATGCCATTACACATGTGGTTTTGCTACATGCATGCTACTTTTTTCCTTTAAATAAGCTTGCAATACTGCAAGCTGAGTCTATACAGAAAATCCTATCAAAGGCTAAAATAGCTATATCTGCTTTACAACCAGCCTCGGGTACAAAACAAAGCATATCCCAAGTTTTGATGTTTTATCTGCAACTAAGTTATTACACAACAGCTGGGAAAGTCACTCTGCCTTTCTTCTCTAGTGTTTTCATCTGTATAATGAGAGTAGTAGACAGAGATGGCTTGCACTAATGTAATCAGAATGCTGCATTGGATAATTAATATCTAGTATGGCTACTTTGATATTAACAAATTATACAAAATATTAGGTACTCTGAAAAAAACCAAAACAAACCCAAACCCAAACCTGTCTTGACATCTGAAGTAGTCATTTAAAATGATGAACCAAAACAGTAAACCAAAGCACTGAGTCACCTTTCCACAGTAAGGCCTTCAGATCTCTCTTTCTTGATTCCTCATGGATAAAATTAGGATAAAATATTGTTTCAACTAATAGAAGAGTCACAAAGATGAAGCGGAGCTTTCTGCTGAAAGCAAGTCAAACATCTCTCATGTGTCTTCACATCTTTCATTTCCCCTTTACTGAGTGCTCAGCTTTGCAGTCACTGATTTAAGTGTTGCTAAGCCTTGCAAACACCCATGAAAAAAAAACAGAAGCAGCAGGTACACAGCACTTCTGTAAATAAAGAAACATAACTGGGAAGAATGAACACAGGGACAAGGAGTCAGGGCTTTCTGCTTCACATTCAGGACTGCCTCTGATTTACATGTGACATTCATAAGCAATTTTATCTTTTCATCATTTTTTTCCACTAGTAAGTGGGATGAAAATACATTCCAACACTAACAAGTGAGTAACAAAATACACACTAACAGTTTTGTGGCACACAGATAATGTGACAAACACCAGTGAAAACATAAATAAGCAAATGAATATTTCTGTGCAAGGTCCAGCAGGGTTTTGCTGTACAGTATGAAACAAGGCTGGATCCTTTCCTGAATTCTGAGAGACTGAAAAAGGATGATCAATTTTCAATTAATAACACAACATATGATAGTCAATTAAGACTATCTCCAAATACATATACACATAGAACAGAATTAGCATTGCTTATACACATTTTATTCTTTCACTTCCTAACTTTTTGGTGCCAGACTTCCCACTTTTCACAACAGGTGCACTGAATACCATCTGCAATTAAGGGCTATTTTCAGGGAAAAGTTATCTGAAACTGTCTTGAGGTACTAAGCACAGGTATCTCAATAAAAAACTCTGGCATAACGTATCATGAGCAGGTCACATGAATTGAGTATCAAAAGAGAAACAAAATTGGTAGGACTAGCCACATTCACAGGGTACGCACCCAGCTTTATCAAGAAAAAGCAAAAAATACCTCAAAGAATTCTCCACTCTCCAAATGGAGACCTGCACAACAACCTGGGTAAGCAACTTCCCACAAGCAGTGCATCCCATTTCTCCACAGAAATCTCACCACACATCACTGCCTCTACCCTTCACCCGCGGGCAGCCCAGGCGAAAACCGCCGCATCCGTTCCAGCAGCAAAGCCCTTCACATTCACACCGAACCCTCAAATCCCCACCTCATCGCTAAGGGCTAAGGTGCGCGGCCGCAGCCCGCCCGCGAGATGGCGGCTGTGGCGGAGCAGCTTGCCCTCGCCCCTCACCTCTCCGACCTGCCGACCGCGTAGCTTTCTCTCCCGCTTTACTCCCCGGCCCCGAGGGCGCGCTCCCGGCCGCTGAGGTCGATCGCCACCGGGCCGGAAGCGCGGGGCCGCCCTCGGCTCCTCCCGGCCATGGGGCTTCACCGCCCTCTGCGATCCCCCCCATATACCCTCCCCGCGGCTGTGGGGTGGAAATGTGAGGGAAGGACCCAGCAGCCCTATCACCCTCGCCCCGTTAGGTGCGGTGAGAGCCCTTGGACGTCGAAAGTGGTTGGCTGTGGACAGAAAATGAAGTGGCGGTCGCGCCTGTCAGCTCTGCAGGCCAGTGAGCTTGGTCCGAGGCCGCAGTGAGCCCAGGTCACCCCAGGGAGCTGCTGCGTTGTGTGGAAAGCCCGTGGAGGACAAATGGCGGCTGGGGGAGATCATCCCCCCCAAGGTCTCTGTCATAGTATCATAGTTTCAGTGCCTGGGCAGGAAAGTGTGGTGCTGTGTGAGTTAGCACCGCTGCAACATTATATTTATCTTTCGACATGCACAGAGAAAAACTGAAATCTAAAGAAGCAGGACAAAGCAGAGCATGTGAGAGGCTGCAGACTATTTAGCTCACTGCTTTGCTAGCCAGCAAACTTAGTCAAGATCAAGGTAATATCTTTCAAGTACAAAATAAAGACCAGAGCCACCACAAAGAGCTGGAGTTGCCCGTTAAAGTAGGATTACAAGAAAACTGAAAGTACCTTCTGCAGGAAAGAAGTGTTAGGTTGGTTTCCAAAGGAAGCAGTTGTCCAGCTGTACTTCACACATACATTTGTCTGTGCTTCTCACCCACCTGAACTTCTTTGTTCCACTTCCCTACCAGATCTTTCATGTCTTGTGGATGATTTTAGAGAAATTTGTCAAAGATTTCAAAGATCTCAAAGGCGAAGTTGCTAAGTATCAGTTTCAGCAATGTGGGTGTCCAGAGGAGACAAATACTCAGGTCTGCCTGAACTAAAGGAAAGGATGCAGAGTGAATTCAAGCAATACTAAAGACAAGAAAATCTGCAGAGAAGTCGTCTTTATAGATGCCTCAGTGTGACAAAATCTTCACAGTTTGCAATCAACCACAAAACAAATCGGCAGGAGGTTGGACTTCAGTCAAAGAACTACTTTTGTAAAGCCCTTGCACACTGCAGGGACCATGTCCAATTGAAATATGTGAAAAAATGAACCATTGTGAACTGCTCCTGTCATTACACAGGTAGGTGCTTGATTTTTACTTGGTGTCTTTGTGGTCTGGGTTGTTTTGGGTTTTTTAGTATGCTGAGTGGTTTTGATGAATTTCTTTCTTGACCTGGCCTGCCACACAGAGGGAACTTCCAGCTGCATATACACAGGGAAAATCCAGAGTAGATCAAATCATTTCAGTCTACAGCTACATCAAAAAGAGCCTGAAATACCTCCTGTTGTTCCTTTTGCTCATTTTTCCCTTCAGGTTTCATTCATTGCAGTGACAGGTACCTCATACCATACCTCATTCCAGTACTGTATTTTTTGACACAGGGGATGCATCACTAGAGTGTCAGTAGTCCCGAGTTGTTGAGCAGGATGAATAGGAAGGAGGTGTCTTATAATGGAGGAAGCAATATGTCATTTGGAAATACTGTATCTGACTTTTTGCCAAGGTAATACTGATTGCTGCTTCTTGAAAGGTGGATTAGATAGTGTGGTTGGGGTGATTTTGTCTGAACTGTGACAATCTTCACTGTATAGATGAGAATTTATGAAAAGAAGGCAATTAGGCATAAATGTATTTAAATATGAAAATAACTAAAATTGAGCTTGAAACTTTGTCATTCCAGTAAAACCAGAACAAAATTAGAAGTTTTTCCAGGGTACTGGAATGAGGGACAAAATGGAATTGTGATAGGCCAATTATATACGTTTTGAGAGGAAAGTAAGAAGAAAAGGGAAAAGAAAAAATAAAAAACAGAAAAAAAAAGAAAAGAGAAAAGAAAAAAAGAAAAGTAAGGCAGCAATGTGGAAATCAGTTTTAGGAGGAAGAATAAGATTTGCTTTCAGCAGGGTCCAAACCAAAGAAGTTCTGCTCCACATGGAGGCCTTGCTGGGGCATTGGTCAAAGACTTGCAATGATATGGGCATCATGCATATTCTCATTGAGGGGGGAAGAGGAAGCATGGTGCTAGGTGTATGATGGTTAAGGATGTATAGAGACCATCTAGGACAGGTTGATGAGAAGGTGAAGCTAGCGATGGAACATAATGCAGGAGTTGTATTGTTAGATCACAGTTTAAGGGAGGATAAAACTTGGTGGGGACTGTGGGAGTTTTAAGAAGGTTTGCTTGGTGTAGTGCAGATCATTTGTTGTGGTATGTGCACTTTAATCCTTACCTGATGATGGTTAGGCTGAATGTGTTGGGTCTGTGCTTTTAGCTGAACACAGTTTAGCTGAATTAGTGTTCACTTTAACACAGAGTTTTCCTGAGCTACGGTGCTGCCATCACAGCTTTTGAGACAACGATGAGAACAACAGGGGTAATGATGAGCATGGTGCTGGTCTCTGATTATTTGCAGCTCACAGCGGTGCTAGGTATATTGAGGCTTAGAGCTAGCAGCCTTATTTCCAAGAACAAAGCAGCTGGATTTTCTAACTGCAGAGTTAGTGCCATCAGTTTATACTTCTTCCTATACCAGCCCAGCCATGAAGGTTTTCTCTGCTGAGGTGTAATGTCTGCATATAACTAGCTATTAGTGCCAATGCCATTTCCAGCAAAAACTCCTGCTGACAGATTAAGTTTGCTGTGAAGTCTCTTGTGTCAATGTCTTCTCTGCAAGCCCAGTGGAAGAATTAGGTTTCCCCAGTTCTTCAGCCTCCTAATGACTGCACTTTGTATGTACCATTAAATCAAGGAATTTATAATTTATGCTGGAGGCGGAAGAACACTCGCTGTTTCTAGGCAAGGAAAAACGAGTTCAATTATTAAGCAACTTCAGCTCTTGTCATGAAGTGGTGCTGTATCTGAGGGAAAACAAACAAAAAATACATGTTAAAACATGAAAAACATGTCTTGGGAATGACGTCAGTGTTGTGTTCAAGTTGTCTGGGTGTCCTCAATAAGAATTTCAAGCTTCAATTTTAATAAATTTACTTCTGAGTATAAGCTTACCTCCATACATCATAGATTCGCAACACTGATTTGCAGATAATTATATACTTCTGTAATGCTTTTTAACTTTAGTTTCTCACTCATATTCTCAAAACTAATTTCTTGCTAATAGTTTCTGGTTTTCCCTCCATAATTATATGTCTATTATTGGAATAGTGGCTTCTTGTTTGAATTTAGTTAATATTTGATATATTGCCAGTATAAATTCTCACATATATTTCATGTGATTCCTACAGACCTAAAGTTTGAACAACTTTTTGTCTGTTAAAGACCTTGAGCTAGTCTTAAAAATTCTATTCACAGTTTGTTATTAACTCTAAATTTTATTTGCAGCCTTCATTGCAAAATCCACTGATACTATTGCTATAATTACTAATGTAAGCAGCTAGGAGTATTGCACCACAGGTGATATTGTTTGGTTTTGTATTTTATCAGGAGTTTGCATATATGTGGGATATTTTAGATTCAGGGTGTAGCCATGTTAGTTTATCTGCCTGTGCACATGAATACTTCATTTCAAAATCAAATGTTACTGTAGGAATTAATACGTATTTAGCTGAGTGTCCACTCTTCCTGTCTAGTGGGAAAAAAGGAGAAAATAAGTACATTATATATTTCTAAATATTGGTTAAATCTTACGAAGAGATACTGAAGAACTGAGAGTGTTACTCAGTTTGTATGATAGCTTTCAAGGAAGCAAAAAAAATAGTGCTTGAGACTTTTGTTACTTAATTTCACATCTACTAAAATAGTAATAAAGCAGATCTAGAAGGGAACATGAGCCCAAAAGAAAATGTTACTGTACACCGTAACAGTGTCATTAAGGAAAAAATGGGTTAAGGGAGACGAATCTAATAGCTTCTGTCTCTCTACTACTGTTATGATTAAATTGGTTAATGACAGACATGAAATATAAGAGATATAAAATAGGTAACCTGGAGTGTAAAAGCACTGCCAGTATGTGATGAAAATGATTAGTGTCATTCTTTAAGTTCATTCTTTTATATATATATATATAAATATATATATATATATATATATATAAAAATCTGTTTCCTCCCATGGTGTCCTTGGTGGTCACAACAGTTTTATATAGTTTTGGAGAAACTTCAAATAGATTATACTTCTATGTGGATTAAAAAAAAAAACAAAACCTCTTTACAGGTATAGCAGGGAGCAGAAATGAAATTCTCCCCTCCCATGTATGTAATATGATTTCATGTACAATCACCTGTTATCAGGTGATACATGTTATTTTGATTTAAGTTTTGGTATGCATGCATGCTATGCATGTATGTTTGGTATGCATTATGTATTAATCCTCAAGATTTTGCTTAACAAAAATCTATGAGTTGGGTGCCATGTAAGCCTTCAGTGGTAACAAACTGAATTAATAATGTTGTGATTAGAAACCAGTTCAAATGCTTTTACAGCATAAGAAAGTCAATGCCATAGTGCAATGCTATATAGCAAGCTACTCTTACATGTTTAGGAAGGTAATACCTGATGTGTCTCATCTATGTCTTACAGTGATTGTTGGTAAATATGAATTTTTAATGCCTGCCATCATGGTTGTTTTATACCTTTATTTGAAAATCTGTATTGAAGAGCTACACTGCTTATAAATCATTTGATGCAGTGCCCAACAGGATGTTAGAAAAATTGAGATTGAATTGATTTGGAATCAAATCCCGTTAAATAGACAATGGGTGGTTTATGGATTAGAAAGCTTGGTCATAAATGAACTGCTGGTTTGTCTTCCCATATGAAACCTGCAAATGAAGTAATGACCATAAAGATAATAAATAGTTCAAGTCAGTTGAGACCCCAACTGCAGAATTTTGTGTGCCTTCACTTCATCGAAAGCATCACTGGATATATACATACTGGATTTTTTAGACCTAGATTGCTCACTGTTTTTGGGCTGTATTCTTGGCTGATGCAAGTCAGATATATTCCGTCGGCACTCTCCTCAAAGTCTATGGACATACCTTTGTATGCATCACTTTTTCTTCCTTTGTATCATATTGTATGTTCTTTTCATATTAATAACATACCTGCCAGTATGTCTAGCAAAGTAGTGACTGCTTGGACCATGCAGGAGTAATGCTCAGCTCCTCTTTAAAATCAGTTGTTAAAAATGGTCTGGAAGATAAAGGAGGAGGACGCCTGAATTGCATTCTTGAAAAATAGCAAATATATGTGTTGCAAACAGGGAAGGACTAATTCAAGACAACCTAATAGGATTGTAGCAACATGTAGAGATTAAAAACCAGTGAGGCTATTAACTTCAGTGTCTGAGGTTGAAAAGAGAGATATCCAATAATGAAACCAGTTGGTACTGACTTCTTACTGATTGTATGTGCCTCAGTGACTACAGTGACTTCATTTTCTTCTCAGTAGCAGTGTAACATTATGCAGTCTTGACATTTGATTTGTTGAGGGCTATTTGTAATTTTTCAGAACATAATTATTGTACTGTAATGGTTTGTTTAAACAATGTTGATTTACAGGTTCCTCCTGTTAATTTATTGATACACACCTTTGACCATTGACGATAAAATTAATTTTGTGCAGATTGAAGTCCTTCTAGTAAGAAATTCCTTTTCAGATGCAACTGAATCCAGACGAGAAGACGAAACTGTTGCGTATTTCACTAATACAAACATCTTCTAGAAGAGAAGAGGCAAAGCCAAACCTGAATGTATGATTTTGAATTCTCTGATTATATGATTCTATGAATGAAGGTAAGATGAAGTTTATTTCATACTACAGTAATGCAGTATTGCAGTTAACTAGTGCATCACTGCTGTGATGCAAACTAATTTAGTGGCATTTGAAGGAAAAGGGGAGATTTTCCAGTGGAGTTTCTCTGCAAATGGGTTGAGAGAGTAAAACTCATTTTAAAACATGGGTCAGTTAAACTTGTCACCTCAAACTCCTTGAACTGGCTTCTAAGGAAATTGTCTTCACCTCTCCAAGCTGTTTTTTTTTGCACCTTATATGTGCCAGGGCAATTTTTACAAACGTTCTGTCATACTAGATATTTAGCTGGACAAGATAATATTATGGG